CCCATTTCAACATTTTTCATATGAGCAAGTTGTGCTGTACAACTAATACTTTCTGTTTCCCATAACATTAGTTTTTGAAAAACAGTATTGTTCAGATTTTCCTCATGCCTTTTGAGTCTCAACTTTCCTTTCTACTTCAAAGGCTTTCTTTCCTTCTCTGTTCACCATGTGCAGCTGCATCCCAAAGTGGTGCATCTCAACCTTGGGGATGAGATTCCTTTCCCTGATTGGCCACAATCTCAGTACCTTCTTCTTAAAGGCCAGCGTGGCATCCCAAAACATGTGTTGTCATCTCATATGAATATCCATCAGAACCTTAACATAGGTATACCCCTCACACATGAGCTTCTCCATGAAACAGAGACCCTCTCCAGTGAATCTGCAGTAATGATTTCTTGAGATTCTTGATGCATCAGCTGGAGATAGTATCTAAATCCCTGACAACTATGTGTGGACCACTCTGGCATACATAATGTTCTGCTTTATATTTTGGCTGTTTGTGTACTTGGCCTCTATTTCCTAAAAGACTGGAAGCCCTTGGAAAAAAAGGAATGCTTCTGATTTCTTACAATATCACAAGGACCAGCCCCCATGCTTGGCTCTGTAAATGGGTACTGAATGAATGAATATGGCAATGAGAAACAAATGAACAAATAATTTCAATTGATTGATTGTTCTGTTACTGCTATGCCTTGACTATAAACAGATATAATATGAAATCAATAATCTCCTAAAAAAAAGGAAAACAAAGTTCATTTCTTGCTAAGACTCACTTTAAAATGTTTTTTCCATGCTTTAAGAGTTTTTCAGAAAAAAATTTTATACAAATAACAAAGATAATTGCTCCTATAATTTGACAGTATTAGACAGCTCACATTAAAGCAAATATTTTTAATGGCCCAGCTTCAATGCCTGACAAAAAAGCTTGCCTGGGACAGGAGAAGACTGCCTCTTCTCACACCCACATCAACCTGGTGTATGCCATTGAGACATAATAACTGTTCCCCACATACCAAGCAGAGTGCGCAATATGACTATGACCTGCTCCTCAGGTTAGGATTGCCAGGTGCCTCTCTTCTGACATCACAGCCTGGGGCTCACAGTGTTCTTGTCTCTGACAGATATTGGCCATCCGGCAGCGAGCACGCCTTCTGCGCTGGGCTCATCCACCATCCATGGCCCAGCTCAGAGCAACAAAGGAGAGGATGAGGAAAGAGAATCATGCACGATCAGCTCTGAGGTAGGTGGGAATGCCATTGCTGGTTTGCTGGGGTCTAGCAAACCATCAAGAGAAAGGTCCTACAGCCTCAGAAGAGCTTTATCTAGCCATTCTTGAAGTTTGTTTACATCTGGGGGTGAGGAGGTAGAAGGGAAAAAATTTTTTGGCCCCAAAGCCATCCTTTACAATATCACACACCATATTCTCAAGTACAAGACATGCAGAGAAATGGGATTGGAGTCAGGAAACTTGTTTCTGCCACTTTCCAATGATGAGAAATTGGTCAAGAGACCTGACTCCTCTGGGTCTCAACTTCCTTCATTATTCCTACATTCACATGCATGATGGAATATAATCCCCTCACATGTATGTACTTAGTATGCTGCCTGGTACATGCACCTGTGGGGCATGAGAAATCATATGATAAATATAACACTTCTTCCTACAACATTTATTTAACTCAATGACAAGCATTTAAAAATATTTTTAAGTTAAAATATGCACAGCTATATTATTGTCCTCAATGCAAAGCTCTGTGAATTTTTTAAATAAAACAGAAAATATGTGCGTGGCAAAGCTCTCTAACTTCCTACTCAGACATCTTTCTCTCAATGATATCTATTTTCATTCTTCATCCATGGTACTTGCTGGATTGGGACTACTGGAAAAAGCCTTCTGTAAAGACTAGCTGAGAGTTTTCTTTAAATTCTGGGTATGAATTTGGTCTCCCAAATCTTTCTAATGTAGTTTGTCAATGACATAGGAATTCCTGATATTTATCCAAAAATGATGCTGACAATGTCTGTAATGGAACCACTTCTCTTTTTATCAAAAACTTTCTGACAAATTCATTACAGTTGGAACACCATCAGATCTTCCTTTAATATGGTGCACATTCTAAAGCAAATTCTGTTCCAAACAGAAGAGCTATGGTTGTACTTGAATATCAAGTTTAAAGGAGGTCTGGGAAGGAATTCAGGAAGATGGAACAATGATATAATCTTCTCATTTTCCCATATGTCTCCATAAAAATCAACAAGAGTGACTAAGATAGCAAAACAAAGAAAACATCTACAACAAAGTAAATAACACAATACCCTACATGCCTCCAAATGTATGGAGGTAGGGACAAATGACTGAGCCTGAGAGACCTGTAGTCAGTTAGCATGACTACAGAGCAAACTGGAGGGATGTACTGTGGCATTTGAGGAGAACACAAGCCACCTATAGGTCTTATTCATTGGAGAGTGTATCAGGTGAATGTGATGGCAGGAGGTGGCCAGGAGGGCTATAGACCCTCTAGTTCACAGACCAGGGTAGGTCCCTGCTCTAGAGCCATCTGGCCCAACAGACCAAGTAAAGCCAAAAATCATCCAGTTCAATTCAGGACACAACCCCAGAGTGCTGAGAAACCCGTGGGAGCACAGTCCACACTGAGCAGGATAGGCAAATAGACTGGAAAATGCAATTGGAGGCAACATACTTGGTAAAACCAGCCATTTTTGCATATGACATGATTGAATGTCTGGAAACTCACCCCCTAAAATAGAAAAAAAAATGAAAAAGCGTGAGAGAGGTGTGTGTGTGTGTGGAAAATCTAATAAAAATTACAAAAGAATTCAGTAAAATAGGTTATAAAATTGAAAATACAAATCCAATATCCTTCATGTATACAAGAACAAGCCAGCTATATTTAATAGAAGACTAGTCAACACAGCAAATAAATAAAATACAGTAAGATACAAAGGCACAATCTTTTTTTTTTTTCCTTAGGATTTGGGTGAAGATTTACAGAGTAAATTCACTTTTCATACAGCAGTTCACATATACTTTGTCTCATGTCATTGACCAAAATTTACAATGCAGCAGCTCCCCTCCCACTTCCTCCCCATAGTTACCTCCTCCCAGTGTCCATCCCTTCATACTCTTCGAGAGGCCCATTGTCTGCCAACCCTGTATATGATCTTGGATACACTCTCCATTTAGCAAAGGCACAATCTTAAGAAGAAATGTACAAACTTTGTATAGGAGAAAGATAAACTTCCCTAAAAGACCTAAATGTGGACTTAAACAAATAGAAACACAAACCTTGTCATGAATAAGAAGATATACATCATGTCTTCCTAAATTTTCTCTAAAATCAAATTATAAATTTAACAAGAAAATGCCATCATGTTTTTTTTTTTTCTGGTACTAGTCAAGCTGATTATAATATTGGTTTAGAAGAACAAACAAATAATGGCCAGGAAAACTCTGAAAAACTAGAACAAGAAGTAGGGGCCACTCCTGCAAGATATATAAATAGACTATAAAAGCCTCTATTAAAAGAATGTGGTTTTGGATATAAATAACAGAGAGGCCCATGAAACAGAATAGAAAATCCAGCACTATACCAAAATACAAATGCAAAAACTAATACAGGCAGTCTCTGGGTTATGAATGTGACTTACATACAGCTCATAGTTATGACACACCTCCCCCCCAAAAAAAGCCTATAATATTAAAAACTAGAGTTACATACAATGATCCATAATAACAATGGGTGCGACATTGTGACTCACATCAAAACATCATTATTATAGTATTATTATGTTAAATGTTGCTTTAGTGTATCTGGAAGTGTTTCTTTCCTGTTTTCTATGCATAGAAAGGTAGACTATATACCACATACCAAGACAGACATTTGAGGAACAAATATTAGATACAAACTGTACCTAATTATTCCAAATTATGTACAAATACAACTTAAAGTCAGATTTAAGGATGGAACTCTTTCTTAATGCAGGGACTTCTTGTATAGGATAAAGGTGGCATTTTAAATCTCTAAGGAAAAGATGTGAGAAAGAGAGGAGGAGAGAAAGGAAATGGTGGAGAAACAACCATATATTTTGTGTCTTTTGATGGAAAAAACAGACCTAGCCAAAAAAGTCAAATCTTAATTTGATTAAGCATTTTCTCGCAACTTCCAGGTTATAATAAGAACACATGAAATAATACCACAAGCAAGCAATTAGCAAATTCCAGACAATTAGGAACTTTACAGGACAAAAAAATTAGTTTGATCAATAAAGTGATGATTTTAGACTAACAGAAAAAGAGTTGGAGGTGGTATCTATATATTAAAACACACTTAAGTGGGAAATTAGTTAATATAAGTCATCATATTAATAGACTAAATTTTAAAAATCATATGATCATCTAAATAGATGAAGAAAAAGTATTTGACAAAGTATTTGACATTTATTCATTAAAAACATATTTTAAATCTCTGAGCAAACTAGGAATAGAAGAGAGCTTCCTTTATCTAATAAAGGGATCTACGAAATCCCTGTACTTAACATTGTATTTATTGGTGAAACATTAAATGCTTTTTAAGATCAAGGAGACAAGAGATGTCCTCTCTTCCCACTTCTATCTAACATTATATTGAAAGTCCAGTATAGTGTTGTTGATGTTGTTAGGTGCTGCCGAGTCATCTCCAACTCATAACGACCCTATGCACAGCAGAATGCAACACCACCTGGTCTTGAGCCAGCTCCATGATTCTCGTTATACTTGAGCCCATTGCCGCTGCCACCATGTCAATCCATCTCGTTGAGGGCCTTCCCCTCTTTCATCAACCTACCACCTTACCAAGCATGACATCCTTCTCCAGGGAATGGTCCCTTCTGACAACATGGCCAAAGTATGGGAGACAAAGTCTGGCCATTCTTCCCTCCAAGAAGCATCCCGGCTGCACTTCCTCCAGTACAGACCTGTTAGTTCTTTTATCAGTCCACAGTATTTTCAGCTTTTTTCACCAATACCACAGCTCAAAAGTATCAATTCTTCTTCAGTCTTCCTTATTCATTGTCCAGCTCTCACATGAATATGAGGTGAGTGAAAATGCTATAGCTTGTGTCAGGAGCACCTTAGTCCTCAAGGAGACATCTTTGCTCTTCAGCACTTGAAAGAGCTCCTTTGCAGCCAATTTGCCCGGGGCTATACATCATCTGATGTCCTGACTGCTGCTTCCATTGTCATTGATTATAGAACCAAGCAGTGTGAAGTCTTTGACAATTTCAGTCTTTCTCCTTTATCATGATGTTGCTTGTAGGTCCAGTTGTGAGGACTTTTGTTTTCCTTATATTGAGATGTAACCCATACTGCAGACTGTATTCTTCAATCTTCATCAGTAAATACTTCAAGTTATCCTCACTTTCAGCAAGGAAAGTTGTGTCATCAGCATATGACAGGTTGTTAATGATTCTTCCTCCAATCCTGATGCCACGTTCTTCTTCATATAGTCAAACTTCTTGGATTATTTGCTCAGCATACAAATTGAATAAGTGTGGTGAAATGGTACAACCTGATGCACTCCCTTCTTGATTTTAAACATGCAGTGTTCCCTTTTTCTGTCTATGTACAGGTTCCTCATGAGTATAATTAAGTGTTCTGGAATTTCCAATCTTCTCAATGCTATCCACAATTTATTATGATCCACACAATCAAATGCTTATTATTATTATTATTAAATCTTTTTATTGTGATTTCAGTGAAAATTTACAGAGCAAATTCACTTTCCATACAGCAGTTCACATACATTTTGTCTCATGACATTGACCACAATTCACCACAGTGCAACAGTTCCCCTCCCACTTCCTCCTGACAGTCACCTCTTCCCTGTGTCCATCCCTCCATGCACCCCTGCCCCCTGAGCTGTCTCCCTGTGCATTAACAACCCCTCTTTCTCCCATGATTGTTCTCTCCAAGGAGTGTATCTACCTCAGGTAAATGCTCAACTCCTATTCCTGTCTTTTATTTGGCTGGAAGCCACAGGTGTAGGTTCAATTCCAGACCTGCAGGGCAGCTAGGGGCCATACTCTCAGTGGTTCCACCAGGCTCTATAGACCAGCAAACCTGGTCCCCCCTTTTTCTTTCCAAATGATTTTGAGTTTTGTTCCACATTGTTCTCCCTCTCTATCCAGGATCTCCTACATAGATCTCTCTCCAAGTGATTGACAGTGGTAGCCAGGCACCATCTAGTTCTTCTGGTTTTATAGTTGTATAGGCTATGGATCGCATGGTGTACCAGTCGCTAGGACTAATTCTTTCCATGAATCTTTGGTTTTCTTCATTCTTCTTTGACAATCAAATGCTTTTTCATAGTCAATAGAACACAAATAAATATCTTTCTGGTATTCTTTACTTTGAGCCAAGATCCATCTGACATCAGCAATGATATCCCTCGTTCCACATCCTCTTCTGAATCCAGCTTGCATTTCTGGAAGTTCTCTGTCAATATACTGCTGCAACTCTTTCTGAATTATCTTCAGTAAGATTTTATTTCCATGTGATATTAATTATATTGCTTGGTAATTTCCACATTTCTTTGGAATGAGTACAAATATGGATCTCTTCCAGGCAGTTGGCCAGGTAGTTGTCTTCCAAATCTCTTGGCATAACCAGCGCAGAATCCATTTGTTGAAACATCTCAATGGATATTTCATCAGTTCTTCATCAATTCTTTCAGTGCAGCTTCGACTTTTTCCTTCAGTAACATTGGTTCTTGAACATATGCCACCTCCTGAAATGGATGAAGATTGACCAGTCCTTTTTGGTACAGTAACTCTGTGTATTCCTTCCATCTTCTATGCTTCCTGCATCATTTAATATTTTTCCCATAGAATCTTTCAGCATTGCAACTCAAGGCTTAAATTTTTCCTCAGTTTCTTCAGCTTGAGAAATGCTGAGAGTGTTCTTTCCTTTTGGTTTTCTAACTCCAGGTCTTTGCACATTTCATTATATTAATTGGCTTTGTCTGTTTGAGCTGCCCTTTGAAATCTTGTGTTCAGCTCTCTTATCTTGTCATTTCTTCCATTTGTTTTAGCTGTTCTTCCTTCACTCAAGGGCAAGTTTCAGAGTCTTTCCTGGCATCCATTTCTTGTATTCTTCCTTTCTTGTATTTTTAGTGACTTCTTGCTTTCTTCATGGATGATGTTGTTGATGTCACCCCACAATTCTTCTGGTTTTTGGTCATGGGTGTTCAATGCATCAAATCTGTTCTTTAGATGGTCTCTAAATTCAGGTGTGATATATTCAAGGTCATATTTTGGCTCTTGTGGACTTGTTTTAATTGTCTTCAACTTCAAGTTGCATATGAGCAGTTGATGGTTTGTTCCACAGTCAGCTCCTGGCCTTGTTTTGGCCAAAGATATTAAGCTTTTCCATCGCCTCCTGCCACAGATGTAGTCGATCTGATTCTTGTGCACTCCATCTGGTGAAGTCCACATGTATAGCCAGCATTTGTGTTGTTGAAAAAGATATTTGCAATAATAAGTCTTTGGTCTTGCAGAATTCTATAATGCAATCTCCAGTGTTATTTCTGTCACCAAGGCCAAATTTTCCGTGTTCAATTCATCAAATCTATTCTTTAGGTGGTCTCTAAATTCAGGAGGGATATATACAAGGTCATATTTTGGCTCTTGTGGACTTGTTTTGTCGTCAACTTCAAGTTGAACTTGCATATGAGCAATTGATGGATTGTTCCACAATCAGCTCCTGACTTTGTTTTGGCTGAAGATACTGAGCTTTTCCATTGCCTCCTGCCATAGATGTAGTCAGTCTGATTCCTGTGTACTCCATCTGGTGAAGTCCACATTTATAGCCACTGTTTGTGTTGTTGGAAAAAGGTATTTGCAATGAATAAGTCATTAGTCTTGCAAAATTCTATCATGCAATCTCCAGTGTTATTTTTGTCACCGAGGCCAAATTTTCCAACTACTGGTCATTCTTCTGTGTTTCCAACTTTTGCATTCCAATCATCAGTGATAAGCAACACATCTTGATTGCATGTTTGGTCAATTTCAGACTGCAGAAGTTTTGTTGATAAAAATCTTCAATTTCCTTTTCTTTGGCTTTGGTGGTTGGTGTATAAATTTGAGTAATAGTAGTATTAATGGGTCTTCCTTGTAGATGTATGGATATTATCCTATCACTGACAGCATTGTACTTCAGGCCAGATCTTGAAACATCTTTTGTGATGAGGGATGCCATGCCATTCCTCTTAATTTTGTCATTCCCAGCAAAATAGATCATATGGTTGTCTGATTCAAAATGGTCAAAACCAGTCCATTTCAGCTCACTAATGCCTGGGATATTAAACTTTGTGTGTTCCATTTCATTTTTGACAACTTCCAATTTTCCTAGATTCATACTTCGTACATTCCATGTTCCAGTTATTAATGGATGTTTTCATCTGTTTCTCCTCAATTTGAGTCATGCCATGTCAGCACATGGAGGTCCTGAAAGACTTACTTTATCTATATCATTAAGGTTGGTAATTCTCTGATGAGGCAGTTCTTTCCCAGTCTTGTTTGGAGTGCCTTCTGACCCAAGGGGCTCATCTTCCTGCACTGTGTCAGACAGTGTTTCCAAGCTATTCATAAAGTTGCCCAATAATGTATCAGACAGTGTTTCTTTGCTATTCATAAGGTTTTCTGTGGCCAATTTTTTTGAGAAGTGGATGGCCTCTACCTTCTTCCTAGTCTCTCTCAATCTGTAAACTGTGTTGAAACCTGTGTACCATGTGCAACCCTGATGGCAATTGAAGCACCAGTAACACAGCCTCAAGCCTCATAGTAACGTGCAAGTCCCACAGGATGGAAAACTGACAGACAAGTTTGTTTCCCCTACCTGTTGGAAACATCTCTGCCTTCCCCTTACCTAATTCCTACGTGGATTCTGCCACTTTGTGGTCCCTGGCTGCTCTGCTCCCTGCCTTTCCTGGCTCTGGGGGTTGGGGCCTGCCTGCCTCCCACCCTTTACCTGGATCCTGCCACTATTGTGGTCCGTGGGCTCTCCTACTCCCTCCCTTTCCTGGCTCTAGGGGGCTGGGGCCTAACCTTGCCTCCTGCCCCTTACCTGGATCCTGCTGCTGTTGTGGTCCCCAGCCGCTCTGCTCCTTCCCTTTCCTGGCTCTAGGGGGATGGGGCCTAGCCTTGCCTCACTAGATCCAGTAGTCAAGAAAAAGAAACAAAGGGCATGTGTATTTGAAAAGAAGAAATACATGTCTTTATTGGAAAATTAAATGATTAGTCTTTGCTGATAATCCCAAAGAATCTTTAAAGAGTTCTTAAAATTATTAAGTGAATTCAACAAGTTTGGTGATGCTTTTATTATATGCCCTTAAATTGATTCTGACTCATATCAATCCTATATGACAGAGTAGAACTGTCTTATAGGGTTTCCTAGGCTGAAATCTTATGGGAACAGATCACCAGTCTTTTCTCCTGCAGAGCCATTGATGAATTTGAATTGCCAACCTATAGATTAGCATCAATGTGCTTAATCTATACACTGTTTTCAGGAGACAAGGTCAATGTACAAAGTCTGGTATGTTTTTAAATTCCAACAATGAAGAATTGGAATTCAATTTTTTTTTTAAAATTACAATAGCACTAAAGAAACTAAGTACTTAAATATAAATCTAAGGAAATGTTAGCAGGATCTGCAGATTGAAAACTATAAAACTGTATTGAAAGAAATCAAAGAAGATGTAATTACATGGAAAAATATATCATATTCATGGATTGAAAGCCCAGTGTTTCTAAGGCATCAATTCTTTCCAATTCAGTCTATAATTTCCACTAAAATTCCCTCAAGCTTTTATATAGACTCTGGCAAGTTGATTCTAAAGCTTATATGGAAAGCAAAATAACTTGAATAGGCAAAACAATTCTAAAAAAGAAGAAAAAAATCAGAGGACTCACACTATTTGATTTCAAGACTTATAAACATACAGCAGTAAAGACAGCATAGTATCAACAAAAGAATAGACACGTAGATCAATGGGACAGAATAGGGAGCCCGAAATAGACCCCACAAAGGTGCAAATGCATTAAAAAAAGGATAGTCTTTTCAACACATCATGCTGGGTAAACAGGATGTCAATATGCAAAAAATTAAAATTCAACACATAACCCATACCTTATAAAAAAATTTCTTCCCAGCAATTTAAAAGTCCATTTACATTAAAAAAGGGTTTTGCTGAGTAAAAGAAATGTGTATGTATACATGAAGTCTGTGAAAATATTTTAAAATATCTTTCTTACAGAGACTTTTTCATGTACACCCTCATGCTGGTTCTGCTTATGTTTATAACATACGGCAAATTCTCCTGGGAAGAATATGCTCTCAATCAAGCTATTCGGAATGAATTTACAAGGTAGGAGGTTTTGGTGAACTTCTCTAGATCTGGGCCACTGCATAGGAGTGACCTAATGATGGCTAGTGTACGTCCACAGGGAAGCTCAGGGCACTGGGTAGGGTTCCCATGGGGAAGCGCAGACTCAGTATTCCAGGTAAGTGTTTCCAGTGGAAGCTCAGGACTCAGGGCTCTAAGTGAGGGTTCACTTAACTTTGTTACTTTAGCAAGCCAGACCATGTCTTTGTCTTCTAATTTAGACAGAGTCAGAAAGGAAGAGACATTCAAGACCATCTAATTCACTCCCTCTGTTCATTTTGCCTTTGTAAGAGTAAAGCCTAAAGAAGGTTTTTTTTTTTTTTTTTTAACAAGTTGGAGACTGAATTAGGCTTGTCCTCTCCTCTGATATGAAATAAGGAAAATGTTGCCAAACTGACTTATGGACACTATTCTCCCCATTGTTGAAGGGCCCCCTTTCACAGATATGGACACTTTGGGCACATTCATAGTATCTCATTTTGGTAAACAGTGGAACAATAGTTCAAGACACTTTAAGGTCTGTGCACTTTAGTGCTGTGCCAAAATAGTGTATTGCAGTTTCCTTTTTACTGAAGACATCTAAGGTCTTCAATCATTGACGTTGTTGTTGTTGTTATTGGCCCCGACTCATAGCAACCCCTCCTTGGGTTTCCAAGGCAGTATCACTACAGAAGTAGGATTGCCCAACCTTCCTTCCAAGGAGTGGCTGGTGGGTTTAAACCGCCACCCTTCTGGTTAGCAGTTAAGTGCCCTTCTGGTTAGCAGTCAAGTGCCTTAGGCACTATGCTACCAGAGCTCCTTATCAATGACATTAGCAAATTCAAATACTTTCTTAACATCTCTTCTTTTTCCCAGTCATTACTTGTTTCTTACTATTTTTTAAAGTAGTAGATGTTCATTGTAGGCAGGTATGGAAAGAACTGAGACATCCAAAGCTTGAGAATTTCCATAATACTACCTCCCAGAAACAACCACTGATAACGTGATGTCGAGTCATATTTTTTATTCCAAAAAGCATAATTTACATGGTTTAACATTTCTGAAATAGGAATATATATTATAATCAATGTGTACATTTAATGTAGCATTTCTCTTTTTTTAACTGAAAAGTTGTTATTAAATCAATGGTCAGATTTTATTTTCATCTGCCAAAAAACTCAGCCTTATAGTTCTTTCAAAGTAGTTTAGCTTTGAAATCTAAAACACTCATATAAATTAATATTGGTTCTTTACTATGGTTTCAGTGGAAGAAAAGAAAAGAATCCAGTTCTCTTCAGGATTTGCTTTCTCTTTTTCTGGAGATTATTTGCAAACATATTCTAGCAGCTTTTCTATAAATGTGTTGCCTTTAACTAAGTGATTTGATTTAATGTAAATTAATTTGTTCGAATTTTTGGAAGAGGTGAATCACTGGAAAACCCAGTCAGATTTTCTAGTATTTCAGGACATATTATTTCTACAAAAGTGAGGGTGATTGATTTCCAGCCAGCTAATGGCTATATTTGGTGGCATAGTGGTTAAAACATTTGGCTACTAACAAAAAGATCGGTAGTTTGAACTCACCAGCCACTCCACAGGAAAAACATGAGGTAGTATGTTTCTGTAAAGATTAACAGTCTTGGGAAACCCTATGGGGCTGTTCTTCTGTGTCTAAAAGGGTTACTATGAGCCAGAATCAACTTGATGGCAGTGGGTTTAATATCATTGCACATGTCAGTTGTTTTACCCACTTGGAAGTGAGAATGGCCAGACTTTTCCACTTGCTTTGGTCATGTTGTTAGAAGGGACCATTCCCTGGAGAAGGCTATCATGCTTGGTAAAGTGGAAGGTTGGAGAAAAAGGAGAAGGCCCTCAATGAGATGGATTTACACAGTAGCTGCAATGATGGGTTCAGGTATAGCAAGGATTGTGAGGCTTGTGCAGAACCAGGCAATGTTTTGTTCTATTGTACATAGGGTTTCTGTGAGTTGGATCCTACTTGATGGCACCTAACAACAATAGTAAAGTAAGACCTAGATGTCCTAGTTAAAGAAGTCTGAATTCTCTTTAACTAAATAATGCAAGCTTTTATTGATGAGTGTCCCAGTAGGGAAATTAAGTGATATTTTCTACTTCCCAGTTTACAAAAATACTTCCATGACTAACCAATTGTGCATGCGTGTTATTTGTGCCAGTAGATGGAGCTGTGCGCAAAACAAAGAGACCATTTTAGTAGTTTCTCTCTGGAATGGGAAATCTAAATGTGAAAATTTTCTGGCTTTTACAAGATTTTTTATCTCACATTTCACAAGTAAGCATTATTTGACAGATTTCTTATATTGTTGCTTTTTGGTATTAAAATCAGAAATATTACAGCTGAGATAATATTTGTGAGATATCTCAAGTGCACATGCTATTAATTTATGACTCATGTTAACCTTCTGTTTCCCAAAGAGTCAAAGACTTTACTACCTCTGGCCATTCTGACCACCAAGCATGGATATTTATGTATCTTGATTTATAATGGAATGTTTAAATTGGATTCTTTCCCCACCTTTCCCTCTCTGTGTATAATCCTGAAACATCAATCACTTTTAGGGTTTGGCATTTGCTAGCATCCTACATTGAAGAACTAAAGCCCAGTAGGGAAGAAATGGATTAAGTAGAACTCAAGTACTGGAGGCCTAAAATCAGTAAGAGGAGCTCTGGTAGCATAGTGCCTAAGGTACTTGACTGCTAACCAGAAGGCTGGCAGTTCAAACCCACCAGCCACTCCTCGGAAGGAAGATGGGGCAATCTAGTTCCATAGTGATACTGCCTCCAAAACCCAAGGAGGCGCTATGAGTCAGGTCCAACTCAATGGCACATAACAACAACAACAACAAAATCAATAAAGACTCTGTGAAATTACAAATAAAATAAAACTAAACTAAACCACCAGTCAATCAAATAGCTGCTTTCTTCATGCACCATAAATGGAAAATAATTGCTGGTTTTATCTTTGGCTTTGTTCAGCTATTTTGTTGACCTCTTATTTAATTACTCAAATTAATACAGGCAGGGCTAAAGCATTGAATGTTTTGGTTCACCACATGTACTCCAAGCTTGTCAGGAATGAGGTGTGAAACGTAGAGAGATGGGGTGTGCCTGTTGTCTCTGGGTCACACTTAGTTCTTGACTTACTTTCTTTAATGCTATCCCAACTGGGGAATAAATATCAGGAAGTGATAATAGTTTATCTGAAAATTATAAAAACACAACATGATTTTAAAGGTCTATAATATTACTATTATTTTTAAAACATATAAAATATGGATTATATTAGTCTGTAAATAGAATAGGTAAATGTTTGTCTGTCAAATGAGATCCAACAGTCTTGCTATCCAGAGCAGATGATTAAGATTTTTCTCTATTGAAAATTAATCATCTTTCTTTACACTATCTTCTTCCTTCCCCTCCTTCCTTCCCTCAATCCCACTCTCCCTCCACCTCTCCCTCACTGCCCTTCTGTATCTGTTCATCTTTTTTCTACCTACCTCTTAACTGAGGTTATAAATGCTTGCAAAGCTGGATCTGCTTACTTTATGCCTCCCATCTTTGTCTTCAGAAGTATCTCCTCTTAACTACTTCATCCTACCTGTAGTTTTGACAGGTCTACAACTTGCTTTGCAGTAGACATATATTTTGACCAAAAGTTTATTATTGTTGTTTGCTACAGTTGAGTCACCCTGAGCCAAGGTAACCCATGAGCAACAGTCCTGCACCATCCCCATGATGAGTTGTGGATTGGACCATTGTGATCGATGGGATTTTCATTGGCTGATTTTTGGGTATAGCTCCACAAGGCCTTTCTTCCTAGTTTGTCTTAGTCTAAAAGCTCTAATGAAATCTGTTCAGAAATCAGAGCAATACACAAGCTGCCTGACAGGTGGTGGCTATGCATTAGGGGCACTGGCCTGGAATTGAACCTTGGTCTCCCACATGGAAGGTGAGAATTCTACCACTAAACCACCACTGCCTCATGCTGATTGACACTTACTATGTGTCAATATTGCACCTCATCTGTGCTTCTGATCGAGTGCTCAGAGCCATCTTGATGGCAGGATCTTACTGTCTTTTTTGGAGGGATTGAGGAAAGAGAGATTAAATGACATGCTCAGTAGGCAGTATGTGATGAAAAAGGATTTGGATAGTGATTGTATGATACAAGACCTGCCTTTTCCTCCTATTCCCATTGTTCACTCTGGACCAAACGGACCTCTGCACTATTCTGAATCTGCCAGCTATGTTGCTTCCCAGCCTGTGCCCCTGCCATCCTCTTTGCCTGGAATGCCGTCCCTCAGGTATCCATATAGCTCATCTTTCATTCCTTCAGGTCTTTGCTCAAATGCCACTGTCTACTGAACATTCCCTAGACATTTGGACTAAAATGTTCACCTGCCCATCCCACCACATCTTGTCTTTTCTGTTCAGCCTTTTCTTCTTAATATTTATTACTAACATAGTGTATATTTTGCTTATTTGTCTCATTTATTGTTTGTTTTGAAGGAGCTGTGGTGCTGAATGGTTAAGTGCTTGGCTGCTAAACAAAGTGTCCACAGTTTGAACCCACAAGTGGCTCCATGGCAGAAAAGACCTGGTGATAGCTCCTGTGAATATTTCAGCCTAGGAAACCCTATGGGACAGTTCTCTGTCCTTTAGAATCTCTATGAGTTAGATTAACTTGATGACATACAACAAAAACAACATTGTTTCCTCACACAGGGAAGGGACTTGTTTTCTGTATCACAGTGCCTATAACAGTGCCTGCCACATAGTAGCTGAATAGTGATGTTTGCTGAGTGAATAAGTGAGTGAATTAATAAGTTCCTTATCCACTGTACTGCCCTCTCTTCTGCTACTAAGTAGAAGAGTGAGTGCAGGGGTTTTGTACCTCAAAGTGTAGGTGGTTTTAGTTTTAATTTCTTCAGAGCTCATGAAAAGTATTTAATTTAATTTGAATTAGAGAAAAAAATTGACAGGAAAAAACATTTTCTTTCTATTAATTCTGGTTTCTTTCTATTAGTTCTGGTTGGTGCAGAAACAGTATTTCTCTTTTGTTCTTTCTTTTTTTTCTTTGACAGTTCCTCAAAGTACCATTATTTATTTATTTATAATTATTACTATTTTTCAATTTTAAGAGCTTGTTTTATATTCAACGTTATGTGTACATTTAGTTTCACTCCCCATTTACCATGTCCAACCCTAATCCAGTCTCCTCCCCTCCCTACACTGTAACCCTCCCCCTCTGACCCTCATATTTATGTACTCCTATTTGTCCTGCATTTCCTCAATTTGAATGTTGGTCCCCTGGTGCCCGGTGGTCTATTTCTCTAATGGATGTATTACCATAGAATATGTGGGTACGTTATCCTGGGTTAAGTGGTCTGCATGTACATCTTGTTAACTACTGGGCTGAGAGCTAACCCCTGGAGGTACATTTTATTCCAGGTGCAAAATGTATTCCAGGGCCATAGTATTGGGGGTTCTTATAAAATTTCATCTGACCCATAATTCTGGTCATTATTTTTTGGATTTTGTTCCATGTTTTTCCTCCCACTCTACCCAGGATCTCCAGATTCGATCCTTTCCTGAGTAGTTGGCATTGGTAGCCAGGCACCAACTAGTTCTTCTGGTCTCTAGGGCCATTGTGTCCTATGGCTGATTGCTTCCAAATGCCCTTATTTATTTATTTATTTATCTATCTATTTTGTTCTTTCATTAAGGAACCCTACGAACTCTTTTAGTGGCCTGAGAAGTACTGATGACTGGTGGGAGTGGAGTCTGACCAGGTTTCTGGATGGCCTATATGGGACTGATGTACAGGAGGCCCAGGTGGGTCTTACACTTTCTTATACACAATGTTGTTGTTGTTGTTCTTGTTATGTGCTGTAGAGTCAGACCCAACTCATTTGCAACTCCCTCCTTGGGTTTCCAAGGTGGTATCACTACAGAAGTAGGTTGCCCAGCCTTCCTTTTGAGGAGTGGCTGGTGGGTTTGAACCACCAGCCTTCTAGTTAGCAGACAAGTGCCTTAGGCACCACAGTACCAGAGCTACTTCTTGTGCACAATAGTATCAAAAAAGCCTTGTGACAGTGGTACAAAACAGTGAAAAAAAAAACAAAACAAAACACTGTTTCTCTCTCTGCAAAATCACATGGCAACCTCCCCATCTGCACCTGATTCCCTAGATTAATATACTTGTAGGCCCTAGCTAGGTGCAGGGACGTAGTGGCCCCAAGGAGCTCTCAGGCTAATGGCATGAATGATGAGCAAACCAAAGGTTCTTGTTTAGTGTATCGAGTGTCATCACAAGAGGAGCATAAGGAGCAGTCACAGATCCGAGGAGGGGCTAAAAGCTAAGATGAGTGTATAAGGAAGCTCCCTGCTGGAGTCAAGGCTTGTCCCAAGTTGTGGAGAAAAAGTTACATTTGGAATGTGTATTTAGTATAACTCCATTTCTAGCTTACCTTTTCCTTTTTATAAAATGACTTAGTCCTGCATTTCTCAACCACTTTATTTCTAATTTCACTTTGAAATATTCTATGTAATCACATGGGTTCAAACTGGAGAAACTTTAGAAAAAAACAAAAACATACTTATTTGGTACAGATTATGGAAGTACCATATAAATTGTAGACTCTTTCTAGGAGAAGACTGTGGAGGTAGCTGCTCTCTTTCTTAGAATGATGGTTAAAGTCTGAGACTATCTTTAGAAGGAAAGTAAAATCTTGACCTCCAGTCTAGTATCCAGCACATATCCACAACTTTTTAATACTATTTGATGATGCTCTTTTAAGTTTACAATGTTTCCAGTCATTTTATTATTTTTTCCTTCTTCTTCTTTTAGTCTAGAGCTCTTGGAGGAAAGTGCTATCTAATTGGCACCTCAGTAATTAAACAGCTAAATGTTTCTCCAAATAGTTTATGCAAGGTAAGACATTCTTTTCTCCCCTAAAAATAAATTAAATTAGAACCATCTAGGGGACATTTAAGGAGCTCTAATGGCACAATGGTTAAGTATTCAGCTGCTAACCAAAAGGTTGACAGTTTGAATCCACCATGGGAGAAAAGACCTGGAAATCTACTCCCATAAAGGTTACAGCCTAGGAAACCTTATGGGGCCGTTCTACTCTGTCTTCTACATCATGAGTCAGAATTGACTCAGTGGTCCAGGATAACAGCAGGAGACATTTGGGCAGGAAACTGGTAGATAATTTTAATCATCTCTGAGAGTCTGACTGATTATTTGTAATGTGTAAGTTGCCAAGTTTGAGGCAGTGTAAGCCTTGACCTCCATTTCCTTCTCCCTTCCAGCCTTTCCAAAAGCCTCTTCTTGTCCTGGTACTCTACTGAAAGGCTAGTCAGTTCATGGTCTGCCTTTTAGAGACCTAGAATTCTAAGTGGAGTCAGATATGACTCATAGCAACCCCTCCTTGGGTTTCTGAGGCACTATCACTATGGAAGTAGATATCCCAACCTTCCTTCCAAGGAGGGGCTGGTGAGTTTGAGCTGCCAGTCTTCTGGGTAGCAGTCAAATGCCTTAGGCACTACACCACCAGAGCTCCCAAGTGAAACTAGAATATTTTAAATAATATAACTAGAATATTGACTGTCTTCCCCCCCCCCCCCAAGTTTGGGCACTTTACTTTTGTCATCTCCCATAATGACATGGTACTCAGATTGTCCAGGCCTTGGCAGTTAGGTGCCCCAAGTTCTGGATACTAAGCAGATACAGCAAGAGACTACATATGCCACATTTCAGAATATTGAACGTGGCTGTGTGCAGCTATGGTTTGCAAACCTCAGAATGCAGGGTGGAATTTGATATATGTACCTGTGTTTTCTCTTGTGATTCTTTTACAGCTTCCTAGCCCATTTTCAGCTCTTATCAAAGACTTTCCTTCTGCATGTAGCCCCAAATTCAGAGAGCCTGTAAACCACTACATGACAGAACCAGCAAACCAAAAAGTAACCCCGAGTCATCCCAAGGGTTGCATGGTGAAAGAGTACTGTACGCTCCACCTTGGTAGAACAAGGTCAGTGTGTTCAGAGGGCCAGTGGTCATCAGTAGCCAGAGGCAGCTCCCCAGAAAGCTTCAGAGGCAGCACATCACTCCACAGTAATGGAAACAGAGGTACAAAGGGATTAAGGCAAGATTTGTTATTATCATTAGATCATAGAAAAGTAACTTGCCCAAGGTCATCAGCTAGTGTACAAGAGAATTAGAATTCAAACTCATATCTTCAGACTCTAAGTGCTTAAGAAAGGGCAAAGCAGAACATTTTCTCAAAAATTCTTCATTTATTTCTAGAAGATTTGAGGTCATGGAAGATAATAGACATTTATTGTACATAGCTGGACACTATGCCTCATGTAATCCTCACACAATTCTATGAAGTAGTGCTAGTCCTACTTTTGTATGACATTGTACATAGAAAGGAATTGAGGCTCAGACAGACTGAACCACTCCCAAGTTGGAGCCAGGATTTGAAGCCAACCATCTGTTGTGACCTGTCCTGCCTCCCTGGCTCACTGTGGCAGCATGCTTGTTCACATGCTGTTGGAATTATACTAAGACTGTGTGGTGACCTTGATTGGTGGTTAGAGTAATATATGCCTTTGAGCAGTATGGAAAAAAGAAAAAGGAAACAATCTACTAGGTACCAAATGTAGATTGTTAAAAATAATTTCTTTAAACAATGAGTTCCATTGCAGGAAGAGGAAACTGAATATTGTGGAGCCCTTGATGCTGAAATACTGGGAACCACCCCTTCATTCTATACTATGGGGAGCTAGAAGCCCTCCTCTCTGCAGCACCCCTGCCTACATCCACCCTGGCTACTGATGGCAAGAGGGTAGGGCAAAGAAATAGGGACAAAGGGCTATTCAGTGGACTCCACAGATAAAGAAAGGCCCATCTGTGCAACTCTTTGAAGATCTGGGGCTGTTTTCCTTGAGAAGGCTTGCCTCAGGCATTCCTTGTGTGGGGCCTGCTGGGTAGCTACTTTGTAGACTTCAAAGCCTTTCTGTCCTCTCTTGATTTGCACTGCTTTGCAGGCCAGAAGCCCACACAGCCCTGACCAACCTCAGGGCCAACCAGTGGATTGGCCGAGGCACCAAGGCTGTGTCTCTGCACTTCACCCTCTACAATGCTCCAACCCAGCTCCTCACCAGCGTGTCCCTGAGGGCAGACATGACCCCCACTGGGCATCTTCTTCCCTCGTCTTGGGTGGAATCAGTCAGTGTCTTCCTCAGCGACTCAGCACTGAGATACCTCCTCATGGTTCCTGAGGTGAGTTCAGGTCAGCTTCTCTGCCTCATCCTTGCTGAGCCCAGGAAGAAGTACTCCAGCCAGGAGCTGGGCTTCCCCACCAATAGGATTCATCCATCTATATACCCTGGGCCACATTCCCATTACATGGCACATGTTATTCTAGATGTTGGGGTGCAAAATGAGTAAGACCTCGATGGGGAAACCTATCACCATATACATGGCATGTGCAAATACAAAGTCATCTTGATGTGTGGAATTCATATTAGGGGGATTGGGACTGATGTCTGCATCCTTCCTGTGGGTATTGGTAAGGTGGAATATGCTCATGTAGCTTCACAAAACACTTAGGTGCACAGGAAGTCATTGTGACCATTTTCTCAGCCTTTTTCTGATTTTTTCCTATATTTAAATTTGCAGCTGTGAAAAAGAAAAATTTAATGACATTTCAGGTCAAATATACAGAAAAATGAAATGAGAAAAACATTGCCTTAAGAGCATAATGAAAAACCAGTTTCCATCAAGCTGACTCTGACTTGTGGTGACCTCATGTGTGTCAGAGTAGAATTATGTTCAGTGAAGTTTTCAGTGGCTGAATTTTTCAGAAGTGGATCTCTAGGACTTTCTTCCAAGGTGCTTCTGGGTGGACTCAAGCTGCCAACCTTTCAGTTAGTAGCTGAACATATCTGAAAAATGGAAATTAATATTAAAAATCTATGGTGGACAAAATATCAAAATTTAAATCAAGACACAATCAGTATTGTTGATTTTTAATTTTGCCTCAGGCTCCAATATGGGTCCACACAGCATTGATTTTTAACACCTTTGCATTAACCAGCAAAATGAACTCTTCTCTGTTTGCATTTGTAGCTTTAGATAGCAGGCTCATGGGGGACAGCACATATAAGCCCCTCAAAAAACAAAAAGTATCATATAAAGCTTCTTGCTAATGTGGTTGAATCCCTCATAAGTTAATTATTAAATTTGAGTTTGGGTTACTGATCATCAAAGTGTCACAGAGTGCTTTTATACAGGATAGGAGGTAGAGTGAGAAGGTCAAATGCACAAAGGGGAGCACATGAATTTGTCTGTAGAGTGTTTTCTGATTTACAAAGTACTTTCTATGTATATTTTGTCATTTAATTTCATCTGTGAAGTAGTTATTACCATTCCTGTTTCAGTAATGGGGAAACTGAGGCTAATTGTTGCAGTCACTGTGCCAGTTCATCTTCCTCTTTTTCACTGACCGAGTTTCAATTCCTGGTCAATGCACTTTATGAGCACCCACCACCCATCTGTCAGTAGAGGCTTGTGTGTTGCTATATTTCTGAACAAGTGTCAGCAGAGCTTCCAGACTAAGATGGACTATAAAGAAAGACCTAATAATCTACTTTCAAAAATTCAGCCACACATACATGTATTACATACATATAAACTCATTCTTTTGGGCAGTGCCGAGTAAGGACTGGAAGAAGCTAGCATGGAGGTCAGGAGATTAGATAATGAGTGCAGCGACCTCCATGAGTTTGTTTGTACCCCTAACACCTGGCAGCAAGTAAGGATCTGTGAGGGTTTGTGCATGAAGAGGGGTGTGATAGTTGAAGATGTGTCAACTTGGCTGGACTCCAGTTGTGAGTGGTGGTAACCATGATGGATCACATGACTGGGTTCTGAGCGGCCGGTCTACCTGGGGGGAGTTTCCCTGGGGGTGTGGCCTGCCTGCAGTGCTATCCCAGGGACAGGCTGGAAGAACGGCATTCCGGACTATATACTTCCTTGAGTGAGCGGTTCGCCGCTCGCCCTGGAGGTTTCGGATTCATCCTTTGTTGGGAACAGCAACCAGCGTGCTGCGTGCCAGCTTGATTCTCTCAGCTCTGTTGTGCTTACGGGAACCAGGTGGCTCCGGGCCTCATCTCCTCCAGAGACGAACTTTGTAGCTTGAACTCCTCTGCCGTGCGTGCGAAAGCCAGGCGGCTCCGGGCCCCATCCCCCTCCAGAGACAAACTTTTCAGCTTGAACTTGTCGGCTTCTACATGCTTGTGAGCCATTTACCTAAGATAAATCTCTCTCTCTCTCTCTTTTTCTCTCTATAAATATATATATACACTTTGCTGGTTTTTGTGTTTCTCTAGAGAACCCAATCCAACACAAGGGGTCATGCTGCCCCAAGTGCCATCTGAATAGCAAGTTTGTTATCAAAACTCTGAGGAATAAAAAATTAACTTGTATAAAAGGCACTTGAAAAGGATTGACAAGGAACTAGACAAATATTAATACCTTAAAAAATTTGTAAGTATTTTTATTTTTTTCTTTTTATCAGCTGGTGTTTCTGGTGCTCAACCTGGTTCACCTCTGTTTTCAACTCTACAGTATGATTGAGAAAGGCATCCTTAACTATTGGCGAAAACCAAGCAACTGGCTGGAGGTAGCCTCTCTTCTATCATTTTCCTCACAAAAAAATAATAACAAAAAAGTACATTTATGTGAAAAAAAAAAATAATGGTAAGTTGATCGTGAGCTAGCTAATTCCAACATTATTGCAGCTTTCTTCCTCTGTTGTGTTAATGCCAAAATAGCATTAAGCTAAAGTATCTGTTTAGTATTTTACAGTTAATTTACAACCCAAGCCACGTGGGTGGAAAGGTCAATCCTTGTCTTGGGAGTGTCTCTGAATGCAGCCTTTCTGTTCAACATTTCAGCTTTCTGTGGTTGGACTGGGCCTTGCCTACTATGCAGTCTCCAGTCATCTTGTTATTCTTGCTGAGAATGTTATCGACCAGTTCCATAAGGGATTTTTTCAAGAATTTGTGGACCTCAGTCTTATTGCATCATGGAATCAGGTATGGCAGGGTGTTCAGTGCAAAAGAATAGAAGCCATTACACTGTGATGCTGTCCAAATGAAGAGGTCATAAGGTTCTAAAAGTGGTGAGATAGTGGCCTTATTTATACTGGGTGAAAATGCCCCATGCTCAGTAATAAGGATGAATCAGACTAGAAAGGGCCAGAAATCCTTTGGACATGCTTTGGGATCTGGAAGCACATGTATGCTGTGTGGAGTAGGATCAAGAACAAATGATGATAAGCTACAGGAAGCAGATTTTGAGTTAGCAAAAAGAAAGACGCCTATATGCACTTGTTTAGACACATTATGTCTTTTTCTCTCTTTGTCCTGACAATTACCACAGAGGTAAGTGTTATCACCTTTTTCCAAGGGAAGAACCTGGGGGTCAAAAAAGGCCTGGGTCCTACAATGGGAAGAAACCCCACTTCAAAGTCCTCACTTGTCTGTTTCCCAACTAGACTTCCTTCAGGGATGGGTTCCCCTTGTGGATGGGGACCTCCCTGCTGGGAGGAGCAGTGCAAATGTGTCCAGATGGAGCTGGGCAAGACTAGGCAGAGGTGGGGGAATCTCACATGTGGGAGGGCAATTGCACTCATACCTTGCAGGCCCTGTGCTGAGGCTCTGATATTAGGTAGGTTGATGTGTGAAGTGAAGCCTACATATTCACAGTTCAGCCTTCCCTACCCCACTCTTCTCTCTGGCCTTTCCTTTCCCATCCAATTGGAAGGTAGTCAGGGCCCAGATACTCCATAAGCCTTGCATATTCTCCCACTCCAAGTCTGAACTTGGTCTCAGAGCAACCCAGAAGTAGCTTGCATTAAGGTGACACAGGGACATGTTCTTCCCCAGCTTCAAGACCTCATCACCCAGCTCTATCTCAACCAGATGACTTCCCTGCTCCCTTCTCTTTGGCCTCCCCTCCTTTGCTTTTTGCTTTATTCTGCAGTCTTGGCTCCTGACTCTACACTCCAGTCTGCCCTAATAAGAGACCTGATTGAAATGAAGTTCTCAGCTCTCCTGTATTTCCTCCACTGAGTCTCTGTTTCCTGGTGGTTTCCTGGTGGTGTGCTCCCTGCTCTTCCTAGTCAGAAATCATTTGCGAAGAGCCACAGATACCCACTGCCCAAGGAGAGAGAAACAGGGCTCTAAAGGAGCCCAAGCAGGGCAGGCCCAGATTTGTAGGGCCAAAAGTGTTTCAAACTCAGAGGCCCATCTTCAGAGAAAGATCACAGACTATCTTCCTTTTGGAAATTCACTAAAGCTACAACCTTACAAAAATCCTGTTTGCAAGTGGTCCTACAAGGACTGAGTCCATGAGCCCAGTGGGGTCTGATGGTTCTGGGGCCAGGCATGAAATCAGACAAGCTTCCACTTACCCTCCTTGACATCTTCATTAATATCACCTTCTCCTGGAGACTTCTCTCCCCCTCCCTTCTCATTGCTGGTCCTCATGCCACTTACCAGTGTCTACTGCAACCCATATCTTATTTAGTTTTTTTGTTAACCTGTGTTTTTCCACAAGACTGGAAGCTTCATGAGGGAGGGGCTATATCTGTTTGTTCACTACTGTTTCAACAGCACCAACATCAGGGTTCGCTGTAGAGTAGGTGCTCAATAAGTTTTGTTGGTATCTCTCCTTGGGACAAGAGTCCCTGGGTGGTGCAAAAAGTTAGCATACTTGGCTGCTAACAAAGATTAGAGGTCTGGGTCCACTCAGAAGTATCTCAAAAGAAAGGCGAGTTGATCTGCTTCTGAAAAATTAGCCACTGAAAACTATGTTCTATGCAGCACTGTTCTAGTCTGACAAACATGGAATCACCAGGAGTCAGAGTCAACTCAGTGGCAACTCATGGCTGCTCTCTGGGGTAACTAGCTCTCCTGGGTTTACTGTTCCATGCACATCTTCACTAGCCAACTCTTTTAACCAAAGGGTCACTCAGCTTGTTCAGAGTTGCTACTGACCCACAAATGTGACTTGTGCTAGTCTACATGTGCTGAATGCCCATAATGTTTGTCCTGGCTCCGAGGACCACCTGACTGAGGATGGCTTTCTCTCTCTCAGGACACATTCTTAGAGAGAACCTCAGCGGTCAGCCAGTGGGTGAGTAACCTCAGGAAGGAGGTGTAGAGTGTCCAGAGTGAAAAACATTGTAGGACTGTTGTGGTAGTTGTTTGTGTGTCAACTTGGCTGGGCCTGGTTGAGTGGCTGGGTAGCTAGTGGTGGTTATTCCCCATGATGAGACTGGCAATCAACTCCATGGTAGGATCTACTACAAGCAGCTGAGTAGCTGCAGCCTGCTATGCTCTGCCAACCTTGGGACTTACAATGGACTTAAGTTAATGGCTTTCCATGTGGTTTGGTAACATTGGGACTGTGCCTTTTTACTTGTCAACCTTGGGGCTTCTCAGCCTCAGCAGCCAGCAGTTGTCTGAGTGAAGAAACACCTCTAGCTTCAGTGGGCTGGGAGCAAGAGGCAGAGCTGGACCCCAAGGTTGAGGGGCTTTGACCCAGTCCCTAGAGCTTGACACTTTGAACTTGGACTTAAAGCCTCCAAATTGTAAAAATAAACTCCTGTTTGTTAAGGCCATCCCATTTGTGGTATGCTTCCTGTCAGAGGAGCACTAGATAACCAGAACAACTGCTCTTCTCAGATTCTGTGGGCAGGAGAATTTTCTAGGTTCTAGAACAATCACCATCAGGGAAAAAGGAATCTGATCTAATCCACACACCTGACCAATTTCAGTAAATGGTCAGTCCGACTCCCACTTCTGGTCTTGGGAAATGTTTGCCTTTTTCACCATTTTCTTCACTAAAGTCCTATGTTTTCCATCATGTGCCCTATGCCTGCTAGAAAAATGTGCCTGGGGAGATGCCACCTTCTCCTGAGGACGTGTCTAGTGGAGGTGCCAAGCTTTGGTTCCTTAATTAGTTAAAAGTCAATTAAGTAAACTAACTAAGAGATAACATGTATTAGGGGTTGATTCCATGCCAGTCATTGGTCTAAACTTTAAACTACATATATTCTACCCATTTTATAAACTTTTTGTTGTTAGGTGCCGTTGAGTCAACTCTGACTCTTAGTAACCCTATGTACAACAGAAGGAAACACTGCCTGGTCCTGTGCCAACCTCATAATCCTTGCTATACCTGATCCCATCATTGTAGCCACTGTGTCAATCCATCTCATTGAGGGCCTTTCCTTTTTTTGTTGACCCTCCACTTTACCAAGCATGATATCCTTCTCCAGGGAATGGTCTCTTCTGACAACAAGACCATAGTAGGTGAGACAAAGTCTGGCCATTCTCACTTCCAAGGAGCATTCTGCCTGCACTTCTTCCAGGACAGATTTTTTGGTTATTTTGGCAATCCATAGTACTTTCAGTATTCTTCATCAGTACCACAACTGAAAAGCACCAACTCTTCTTTGGTCTTACTTATTAACTGTCCAGCTTTCACCTCCATATGAGGTGATTGAAAATATTGTGGCTGGGGTTAAGTGCACCTTAGTCTTCAAGGAGACATTTTTGCTCTTCATCACTTTAAAGAGGTCTTTTGCAGCAGATTTGCCCAGTGCAATACATCGTTTGATGTCTTGACTACTGCTTCCATTGGTGTTGATTGTAGAACCAAGTAATATGAAATCACCTGCACTGATAGGTAACAAAGAGTAACACACACAAAAAAAATAAATAAATAAATAATATATAACAGAAAATACCACAAGTGGGTGGCTTTTAAGGATAGGAATTTATTTCCTGACAGCTTTAGAAGCTAAAATTCCAAATCAAGTTCTCAGCCATGTCAATTCCTCCTGTGGGTCTCTCTCCTAGTCTCTGGTGTCTACTGGCAATCCTTGGGGTTTCTTTGCTTGCTAATGAGTTCTCACATAATGTCTGCTTTCCCCTGTTCAGCTCCTTTATAAGGTATTTCTCAAAAGGAAACAGGTTTAGGAGCCCACTCTACTATAGTATGACCTCATAACCATAACAAAAACCCTATTTCCAGAGTCATATTTACAAGTAGAGGAGTTAGGATTTCCAGATATCTTTTAGGGAATACAACTCAATCCATAAAGGAGACTGATACTCAGAAAGGTTAAGCAATTGCTCAAGGTCACAAGCATCTGAGTAGGAGCGAGAATGGAATTTGATCCTAATGTCTGACACCTGAGAAACCAAATTGCTGAGCACTGAGCTCTGAGTGAGTGGAAATATCCTCAGAAAAGACTGTCCACACTGTTGTGGCCTGGACTGCTCTGGTCAGAGTCTGTGGCTTGAACCCATGCAGTTCTGTTGCTGTATCATTGTGTGTTGAGACCAGCTCTAGGGACTGTGCAGGGTAGATGACATCGATCCCCTGACATACTGTGTATCTTGGCCATTCCCTGTGCTGGCTCCTCAGCTTCTGCCCACACTTCAGCTTCCTCTACTATTCCTCACTTCTGTGAGCTGAATTCTCAAATAGGTTCCAATACAGATGGTTAAAGGGAGTCAGCTCTGAAGCTAAAGCTACCTTCCAGATGCTGGAAGAATGCAGCATCTTCCAGATGAAAATCAGTGACATTCTCATGATGAAATTTAACAGATAGTGTTAGAAAACTGTGAATGGGAGTAGGCCTGGGAGTACACTGGAAAAACACAAGCTTTGAAATCAGTTACTAAGGACTTTGTCTGAGCTTCTCTTTAGCTAATTGCTGTGGGGAGGGAGGGCAGTTGTTGTTGTTGTTGTT